AGTGATATGAAAAGAAAATAAAGCAGTAAGATTTTTAAAAATATTAAAAGCTATGAATGACCAATCTTGGTTCTGAAAGTCTGATGATAAAACACACTGCCCTTTTCTTAGTAGAGAGGAGGTAGCTACAAGTGTGGAATGCTGCATGTGCGATGAGTAGAGAGTGAAGAGACCATAAAGGGAAAAGAGGAAGAAGAGAGAGGAGACAGAAATGGAGACACAGTAGAGAAGAGAAAAGAAAAGAGAGAGAGAAGAGGGAGCTGAGCTGCCTGAAGCTGGACAGAGGGAGAAGGGGAGAGAGATCCAAGAAGGAGTAAGCTCCCTGTGGACAAAGAGGAGTCCAAAGAACTGAGGGAAGGGGAAGAGGAGAAGGAGCCATGGAGAAGAAGACAGCTCCCAACCTGGCAGGCCTCTATGATCAAGCTAATGGGATGGGAAGGAAGATCACGGGGATTTACCCTCCTCTATTCCTTAGTGAAGGTTCTAGGTAGACCCTAGGGAAGGCGGAGGTGGGATGGAGAAGACAGACCTGAAAGAGAGAGGGGAGGGGAATAAAAGATGGGCAAGCAAAGGGGCCAAAGAGGAGGAGGGAATGTGAAGAGAGAAAAGGGACAGAGAGGAGACAAAAGAAAGAGAAAGAAGAAAGGGAAGTGAGAGAGGAGAAAGACAAAGGAGAAAGAGAGGATGAGTATATAATATGGAGAAATGGTTCTTAACTTTTTTTATATCACGTGCCCCCTTTTGACAATCTGGTAAAACCAGACAACCTCTTCTCAGAATGTTTTTAAATCCATAAAACAAATTTCACAGGATTAAAAAAGAAACCAATTATATTAAAATACAGTTATCAAAACATTTTTTAAAAAATTCATGGGCCCAGGTTAGCTCTGGTATATAGAGGGAAAGGAAACAGAGAAGAGAGATGGGAGAGAATTAAAGGAAAAAAATGGTGAATATGTTGTCAGTTATTATTACTGAGTTGACTGGTTTTACTTAGTTGTTTTTCTTTTTTACAAGGTAGCATTTTATCAGAAAGGGTTATCGGAAAGTGACTGATATAAAAAACAAAAGCCATCAATAAGACATTAAAAAAAAAAAAACACATCAATAGGGGCAGCTAGGTGGCGCAGTGGATAGAGCACAGGCCCTGGAGTCAGGAGGACCTGAGTTCAAATGTGATCTCAGACCAGACATTTGACACTTACTAGCTGTGTGATCCTGGGCAAGTCACTTAACCCCAATTGCCTTGCCAAAAAAAACAAAACAAACAAAAAAAAACCAAACAAAACAACAACAACAACAAAAAAAGATCAATGAGAGTAGAAATTCAATGAAGCATTATTAAGTACCCACTACATACAAGGCACTGCACCTTGAGGTAAAAAAGATGAAAAATAGTTTCTTCATTCAGGAGTTTGGGGGATATATAATTATTTGAGGACAAAAAGAGCACCAATAACTGGGGAGGCAAGGGTGGGTCATCAAAGGTTTTCTTTAAGAGGTAGCACTTGAGTTGGTCCTCAATAGTTAAAGATATTATGAAACAGAAATGAGTCAGTCAATAAACATTTACCATGTGCCAGGCACTGTGCTAAGTTCTGGGGATACAAAGAAGGACAAAGATCTATAAAGTTTCATATTATAAATTCTACTTTATCAACAGGAGGTTGTATAGTGTGAATAAAGAGCACTAACTCTAAAGTCAGAGGACCTGGATTCAAATTCCACCTTTGACACTGGGCCTCCATCAGCCTCAGCTTTTTCATCTGTAAAATGGGAGACTTAAGTTCAGATAGTTCCGAGGTTCCTTCTAACTTTTGATCTATGAAAACTATGTGAATAGATATAAAATATTTGGAATATTAATAGATGGAAATAGCATTAAAGAAAAACAAAAGATGGGAAAAGAAGCTGTATTAGATTAAGCATACACAGAAGACGTTTATGCTATATGCAACATATGTTTGATGACTCTGAATGACTGCTTCTCAAGATATTTGAAAGAGGAAGTTATCAAACATTTGGGAAAAACTGAAGTCATTACCAAAAAAAGATGAATATGAACATGTTCATAACTATTTTAGTTAATAACAATATTAATAACAATTTTTACATTTATGCCTATTTCCCAATCTCTGCAAAATCTTGATAATATTCAAAAGGAAGAAGCAGGTTTTTGCAAACAATAGTAGCTGTAGCTTTGTAATCATGTAATTAGTTAAAAGGTACATAGAATGTAAAATCCCATTTAATGTTTGCCTATAAAAAAGCATTTGATTTGACAGACATAAATATTAATTTAATAGCTCTCTTCCAACAAAAATGTCTCCCATATATATGACAAAATCATAGGAGTCTTAAATAAATGTAACGAAAACAATTTTGTTCACCAACCCTCTGATTATTAGTATCAAGTAAAGCAACAAACAGGGAAACAAGACCGCTAAAGGTGTGTGCCACTATCACAGCTATGTCCAGTGCAGAACTCAAATGAAGAGGGAGATTCCTTTGAAATCATGAAGTCTTTCAAGTTTTACTGTTTGCAAATCACACTGTGTTAATTTCATCGAACACCACAACACCGCAAGGTGTCCCTAAATTAGATCTACAATCATGTAAAATGAAGATAAAATATCTAGAGATTCTATCTCAATTTTACAAAAAGTAAAAGGGAAGGAAAAGGGACAGTGACTTATAAAAAAGCCTCCTGTCTTTTCTCAAGAATTTTACTGTAACTCATAGGTACATAGTATTAATGAGGCTAAGGTTCAAGCTTTATACTCACATAGACCACATTCCATGGTTACAAACTGCAATTCTTAGCCCTAACTAATGACTTTGCAAATGAATGTCACTGGACATAGAAGTGACTAGGAGAAAGAGTAAGAGGTTAGCTGAAAATTACCATTAGTGGGAAAGGAACTGAAAGTTATTTTCCCCTAACATATCAGTATCAATCATACAAAAGTCTTCCAGTTATAGAAAAAAGCCTAACAATTTTCATTTGATATAGTTAATAGAACATTTTCAATGCCAAAAGACGGTTCAAAAGAAACCAAATGGCAAACTGAGTGAATCCCCAACAGTTTTTATTTTTAGACTTGTCACTTAAGGATATCAGTCTATTTCAAACTTGCTGATTTCAAAAGGAAAACAAGTAATCCAAAGGAAATAATTAGCAAGTGAACACATCAAGGGAACCAATATATAAAAAAGTTGTCAATATCAATTTATCAATGGAGACAACCATAAACTTTAAAGGTATATTAATCAATCACATTTTATCAAAGGGTTCTATTGTGCCCTTAATTTTTTGCTAAGTTTATCTTATTCCTTGGACAAATGGATTTTCTTAGGTTGTAAGCATTAAATAATACTATATTAAACATGAAATACTATATACAATACTATATATGTACATACATGTAATATCACTGTACATAAAACACTATACATGTATGTGTATGTCTATATGTATGTATATACATGTATGTCTATATGTGTATACATTATATACAATATAATGAAATACAATATATGAAAGTGCTTTGAAAACTATAAAACAACATACAAATATAAGGTTCCATATACCTACCTCAATAAACACAGAGACCTCAGACTTCTCAATTGAATCAGTTAAGAACATGTGAACAAGGCCTAAGCATCTCTACTCAATCAATCAAAGGCATTTTAAACTTAGGTCTCTGATCAATCTGGAAGGAATAAAGACTTGGACTAAGCAATATGATGCCACAAAAGAAATGTTTTGGGATTGGCTGAAGAAATTCAGTCATGCCATTTGGTTTACATAAAATAGCAACCCAGGCAATTCCTGTGGTGATGGAAGGTAAAGCAGATCTGACCAAGCCCCTGAGAACTCTTCTCAGTGAGAAGAGGCAGAATAAAACCCAGCATTTCTCTCCCAATGAGTGAGGGCCCTTGTGGATTTGTGAACAGTGAGGGGCTACAGGATTTGGACTTTTTCCTTCAGTGTCCTAGCAGTGACCCTGAACATCATTATGGGAACAGTGTCTACATGAGGTTACTAGGACAAACTAGAAACACTGAGGAAAGGCAGCTTTGGGACTCTACAAGAAGCCCACCAGAAAAGGTAAATCACACCCAAGGGGTAACTTCATGAGAACCCCAAAGATGAGAAAAGGATTTTAAGCAAGCAGGAACTGTGAGTTACCCCTTTGCCACAAAGATTGGATAAGCTTAAGCCTGAGTCCACTTTCCCTGGGACTCTTCAGGTCCTGGTGGGAGTGTGTGTCACAGACTTTCAGGGGGCAAGTTTTATATCTAATGTTTCCACTATACAGGCCATCTTGGTAAATACCTCTTATAAAAACTAATTAATCCTGGTTAATTGATATCTGGATAATTGATATCTACTGATAAACACAGTGGCAAACTCCTCAAACCCCACCAATTCCCCTAGACCCCAGAAGGGAGATATCACAGCCTTACTCTCAGCATACCCATGTAAAAGGCAGTGTGGAAGAGTAGTAATATAACATGCACTACACATCAGTATTATTTTTTTTTATTACTCATTTCACTCTTTTTTTCTCATGTAGATTTCCTACTGTGTCCCCAACTGTTACTCCTTCATACAACTGAAATAGTGAGATCCATAGCACCGGTACACCTTGCAAATAAGAACAGGGACCTGTGATTTCAGTGGTACATAGAACTTCAAGATGAGGAAACTCCCTCTATCAATGCAGGCCAGCAGCCCCTGCAACTTAAGAGTCTTGAAGAGTTGCCTAGGACAACACATTAAACGATTTGCCCAGGATCACAAAGCCAGTGTCTATCAGAGGTAAGATATGAACCCAGATCATTCAAGCCTGAAGGTCAGTTCTCTAGCCATTACACAACACTACCTCTTTGTGTTATGCAAACATTAAGATTAAAGTCATGTAGAAAGTAATGCTCAAAGAAAATGACAGTCTATTTTGTAACCTTTTTCTCCCTAATAGAACGGGTTTACTTACCAGCTGGAATTCACTCCTGCGGCTATAGGCTTCCTTGATGCCAGAATCCCTCCAAAGAGCACTCAGAGCAGGTACGTATAGTTGGAAAGTGGCAGGTTCAACAGGCATTCCAGCTTTATTTTCAAAGGCCATTAAGAACATCCCATGCTTCTCATTCTCTGAATACTGCCATGGAATACCAAGCTTGTCTCGAGCATCAACTAGAACCCTCGATCCCTATAAAACATAAGACATTATAATAACTAGTATGAACAATGTTAAGGAACTCAAATGACAAAATTTTTTTAAAAATGTATCTCACAAGCCATGACACTTAATCATAGTAATTAATAATTTAGATTTCTGATGTCTTTGCTCCTAGGAACTCAATTTGTAACATCACTGTTACTAAATAACAAAATAAATGTGTATATATAAATACATGTGTCATGATATCTTGATTATCACTCATTTAAAAGATTTTTTAAAAAAGATCTGGATTGAAGGAAGAGAGGGGAAAAGCATACTTTAAGGATAAAATTAAAATGAATTTCCAAACAATTTTAATAAATTTCTTATTAACTAAGTACATAACTTGGAACCTGATGAAGAATTGCTTTTTTTCTCATTTAATTTTTTTAATTAACAAGCATTTATTTTTTCTCTCTCATCCTCACCCCCTCTGTAATCTAAAAAAAATAAAAATAAAAACCCTTGTAACAAATATGCACAGTCAAAAAAACAAACAAATTTTCATATTGGCTATATCAAAACAATATGTATCACTGCCTATTTTGTTCATCATCTTTCTCTGCCAGGGGATAGACAGCACAGATCATCATCAGTTCCCTGGAATCATTGTTGGTGACTAATTAATCAGAGTTCTTAACTCTCTCAATGTTGTTTTTACAACATACTTGTTAGCATATAAATTCATATCCTGCTTCTGCTCAATTCATTGAGCATTAGTTCATACAAAGCCTTCCCAGATTTCTCTGAATTCATATCCATCATATCTTAAATCACAGCAGGATTCCATGGAATTCATATAATGTATGTTCATCCATCCTCAAGTGACAGCCCTTCTCTCATTTTTTAGTTGTCACTGCAAAACAATTTGCTATAAATATTTTTGTACATATGGGTCCCTTTTCCTTTTTCTTTGATCTCTTTGGGGTATAAGACTAGTAGTAGTATTTTTAGGTCAAAGGATATGCATTGTCTAATGAATTGGGGGCACAGCTCCAAATTGTTTTCCAGAATGGCTGGATAAATTCACAGCTCCACCAATAGTGAACATGCCTGTTTTCCCAAGGACACGCCAACATTTGTCATTTTTGCCTATCTGAAGGGTGTGTGGTAGAACCTCAAAATTGCTTTATTTACCATTTTTCAAATTATTAATGATTTGAAGTATTTTTATCATATAGTTGTTGACAGCTTCCTTTGAGAACTATTTGTTCATATCCCTTGACCATTTATCAACTGGGAATGGCTCCTATTATTATAAATTTTAATCCATTCTTTACATATCTTAGAAATGAGATTTGATATAAATGTTTTCCAGTTAATTATTTTCCTTCTAATTTTAGCTACATTGGTTTTGTTTGTGCAAAACCTTTTCAATTTTATGTAAACAAAATTTTCCATTTTATCATCTTTGATTCTCTCTCTCCCTTGTTTGTTCATGAACTATTCCTCTATCTGTAGATCTGAAAGGATATTCTTCTTTATTCCTCTATTTTGCTTATGAAGTGACCCTTTATCATGTGTCCATTTGAAACTCATTTTGGTATATGGTGTGAGTATTAGGCTACATTAAACCTAACTCTGCCAAATTGCTTTCCAATTTTCACAGCAGTCTTTCTCAAATTATAAGTCCTTACTCTGACAGCTGGGGTCTTTGGGTTTATCAAATAGTTCTAGGTTTCTTGCTTCTGCATATTGTGTACCTAATCTCTCCTACTAATCAATTTATTTTTTTAACAGAATTGTTTCTTCAACGGAGAACATATGGGAATTCCTTCATTGCAAAGGTAGAGACTATAAATATAGAATACTGCGCATACTGCATATACTGTCAAATACAATTATCTTTAGTTTCGTTAAAATTATTTTCGCCTTTTTGAAACTTTTGTTGCAAAGGATTGTTCAATGGGTATGAAAAGGGTAAGGTATATATTTAAAAATAATCTTATGTAAAAACAGAAGATAATAATAACTATAGGTAAATTTTTAAAAAAAGAAAATAGGTGGGGCAGGTAGGTGGCACAGTGGATAGAGCTCCAGCCTTGGAGTTCAAATCCGGTCTCAGATACATAACACTCACTAGCTGTGTAACTCTGGGCAAGTCACTTAACCCCAACTGCCTCACCAAAAAACAAAAACAAAAACAAAAAAAGAAAATAGGAGGAGAAAACGTACATACAATGAACAGGAAAAATGTCAATACATGGTACAACAAAGTAGAGTAGGCATTACTGAAATGGTGGGCAGGAGATTATGATCTCGACTGAGTGCTCTTCCAATATGTGATGGCACTTAAATAATTCCTCAGTATGGGTTGGTAGAACACGATGTTTTTGGAGGCATTGTTTTCTAAATTAAAGGGAATATTAATTACTTGGCATCTACCTCAAGCAAAAGATTTTAGTTCTTTTACCTGGACCAGTTTGGCTAAGTCTATTCTGGTTTCAACCTATTTCACATTATGTCCCTTTATACATTCCATGTTCACATTCTTTCTCCCATTCCTGTGAATATGCATGCAATATTCCTCAAGCTTTGAGATAACAGGGATGGTCTTCTGTTCCTGTATCCCCAGAGCCTAGTAAATTGTAGGTGCTTAATAAATGTTCACTGAATTGAATTAAAAATAGGCTTCTTTATCTAATAATGCACATAATTCCATGTAAACATGGTGGTCAATGAAATGATTTTTAAAAGTTAGCTTGTTTTGACTGGGCACTTACTATGTGCAAGGTCCTATGTTAGATACACTGAGGAATCCTCTCATACAGTGCCTGACCTCAAAGAACTCAACAATCTAGTTGGTCTAAATGGATAACACAGTCTTACTTGTACTGTTGCCTAACTGTTACCTAAGTGTCAAATAACTGACATACCTAGAGAGTTAAGTGGTCAGCAAAAGCAGCACTGCACTGTAAAATAAATGAATGTATGAATAAATAAAAACAATAGACTTAGAATCAAAAGACCTGGCTTTGCTCAGCTCTACCATTTCACAGGATCATAAATCTGTCAAAATCTTAGAGATCACCTGGTCCACCACCCTCATTTTATAGATGAAGAAACTGAACCAAGTCATTGGATCGTTTAGTCCTTGGTTTCCTCATCTGATAAACAAAGGCTTTTGGACTAGACGATCATTAAGATAATTTACAGCTCTAAATCTTCATTATTCTGAAGTAAAGCTTGAGTTGGGCCCTAAAAAATGGAGAGACTTCAAGTAAGCATAAGCAACAGCCAAATGTTAAGAAATTACAATATCATTTAAGTAGATCTCTACTTTGCTATTTTTCCTCCCAGTTTCAGTCCCATTACTTTATTTCTCCCTTTCACCTCACCCCAAAAGGGAGAGCATACAGAAGAAAACATGACAGGTGTAGAATCAGGCTTTTACAATGAAGTTCTTTTATTAAGTGCTTTAACCTTTAATGTGGTTAAGAATACCTAACACCCAAGGTCTATCTTTTCACCCTGCATTTGTATACAATAAAAAAGTTCTTAATGAGGAATATAACTTCATTTCCAAATTAAAATTGTGACTTTAAGAGCTTAATGTTTTCAATACCAAGGAAAAAAAGTAGACCAAGAAACCTGAACATCCATTTACCAAAACTGTAGTTTTCACCACTGCATAAACTAAATTTTCCCTAATGATTAGGGTGAGCATAGGCTTGGTTTGAAAGCAGCTAGCTGGTCTGGCCAAAAAACAGTCTGTGTCCCCATTGTATAATTCCACCAAAGCAGACTGGAATCAGTCCAAATTAACTTCCCTCCCAAACAGGAAGAGGAGACTTCTGATTTCTCTTTCAAAAATCAAGTCAAAAGGGGTAGCTGTTGCCAAACTTTGTCTTAAAGAAGTTAATTAATATGGGCAGAAGAACATTTTTAAACTTTAAGTAAGAAAGAAAAGAACCCTACATCCTCCCCAACTCCCCTAAATTATTTTAGTAAGCCACTGCTCTCTGCTAACTCTGTCCTCATCTTTGAGGCTTGAGATTCAGGGAAGGTATGCACTTTGGGGCATACACTTGAAATCCAAATAGTTTTGTTTGGGGATACTGAGTGTAAACTAAAAGGTCTTCAGAAGAGAGACATTTGTTTGGCACTATTGTATTTATCATTCAATTACTCAATCATGTACGTTTGCTAAGCTAATGTTAATATATTAGCTTATATATAACAAGCTAATTATTACATTGGAGTGATGAAAGATAAAGTCTTAAAAGTTTTTATTTGAAGGTATAAGGTTGAAGGTATAAGGAAGCTTGGAAACACAGACCTGAGAAATAACTTTTACTTCTTCCTAATAATTTAAAAATTCCAATTTTCTAAAAACAAAAACCAAACTCCTAAAAAACTACACATTTGAATCAAACCAAACATGAAAAATAGTCTCAAGATGAAGAACAATTTACTTCACTTTTAAATGACCTTACCATAATGAAAGTCTTTTTATTTAAACATTTTAAAGCATTATAATTTCTTAAAGCAACCAGATATTTCAAGCAGTTACTCAAATGTAAACAGTAAAACAGTCCCAAGAGTCTAATTACCTCATCTTAATACAATGTAATACTCTAAACTATTTAAAGAGCTCATTTTCAACTTAAAAGCTTACAATTTAAACTTCTAGTCAAAGAAGATAGCTCATGTCTATTTGGGATTTTTTTTCATTTTGTCAGATGGTCAGTGACTAAGAGTAAATCCAATTCTCTCATTTCAAAACATATTTTTCTAGTTTAGCCCTTAATTTTTTAAATTCAGTCCTTTCTTATTAAAACTTTCCCGCAATAAATATTATTAAATGAAAATAAAATGTAATTTGCATTCTACAGACCAAAAAGAAGCACATTAACAAAATTTTTGAGGCTTAAGTTTTCATTAAATTAGATAGGAACATGTGTATTTGGAATGCTAAATTCTTTAAAATGTACTAGGGATGATTTACTCTGGTCAATATTTAGATTTAAGAGATGTCAACAAAAATG